TGACCAATTATTTCAATTCCTGCTTTTACTAATTATCAACGAGTTCCGAAAATCATACAAAAGGCAGTAGAGTATTACCTCAATTTTTAAGCCACATCGGTTAACTAATTAAACTCCATTTGATCTCCCTCGAACATTAATTCCATGTCCATAATGTCTCGGATACATGGAAAAACAATTACATTAGAAACATAACTTAAATGTGAAAATTCGTATTGAATTAGGAGATAAAATACCGAAAAATGACTTACAAGTTTAATTTGGCAAAACGGACTTTGGAGTCGGACTCAAGATGTCGAAAAACATAAAATATGACTTTTCAAAAAATTTGACTTTTTGGTCAAAGTTAACGGTTAATGGTCAAATCAAAGTCAACGATTCAGGTCAAGGTCAATGGGTCGGGTCAAGGTCAACAGGTTAGAGCAGTTCAGGTTGACTCAGGCTATTTCGGGTTAACGCAATTCAGCTTAACAGACCCGGTTCAGACCGGGTTAACTCAATTCGACCAAAGGTTTCCTCGATAATTTGATGGAACGTCGATTAACGACGAATAACAATGGTTATCAGCTTGAAACCAAGGGGGATTTGGACAGGGCGAGGTGGCAGTGCGCTCCAATGGTGGTCGGACAGTGGTGGATTTGGCAGTAGAAGGGTCAACGGCTAGGGATTGGGGTTTTTAATTTGGGGATTTTTGGGGCAATACCATATCTTTAACTTATATATTATATATTTAATAAAAATACCACCAACAATACCTTAGCCAAAACGGCTAGGGCATGGGCGACCTTAACCCGGGGATAGGGATTCGAATCCTATGTGGCACATAATCTATTCTTTTTATTTTTTTCATGCCAATAGAAAAAGGGGAAATTTAGGGTTAGGTCCCTAAACTTTTTGCAAGTGTTAAAACAGTCTACAAGTCTTGAAATTTTGCAATTTGGTCCCCAATTTTATTAAATTAATTAATTTTTTTATAGAATAAAAATGAGAAAATACAAGGCTGAGACCATGAACTTTATGAATATTTGAGAATTATCCTGAAATATTTATAATCTAAAAAATTTGTCCCTTAAAACTAATTAAATTAATACTTAATAAAGCTCAAGAATTTTCATGTGTGATAATTCTCCTCCCCTTAAAAGAATTTCATCCTCGAAATTCACTCAAGTCACAGAAATGCATAAGTGAAGCTTTTAGTAATTCTTCAATATCTTCAGGTAGCTTTTATAGAAGTACGGGTCCTCTACTAATCCTTAACCAGCTGAATATACATTCTCGTCATAACTCCCCTTATCATAATAAAAGAATATGAACAAAATTATCAATTGGAAACAATTCGACCTTGGTTACGATGTTAGGCTCATAGAGCGATAACATATTCCAATTTTATTTTTGGAGTCCTGTCTGAATTTCTTGGATAAGTAACTCTTACATTACTCGTGAGGCACTTTACAGAATTTGGACAAACGTTATTGGTATTCTGACTTAGAGAAGTACGATTATAGTCTAGGGGCATGTACTGACCAGACATCCTATGACAGTCGATCGGTCGATCTACGCAGAAGGAATCGACTCAACCTAAGCTTTGATACCACTAAATGTAACACCCTCATATCAATGTGGGTGACCCAATCCAATCCGAGGTGTCACATTAGGGCCACCGGAGCGACCCACAGTAAAAATCCAAGAAAATTTAAATTTTTTTGTTAAAATGTGTAAAATCATAAAACAATTTATAAATAAAATGAAAGCATAGAAAATCATTCATATATTACAAACCGAATTTAAATCATACAAGTTTCAAACTCAATATACAAAAAATTTCAAATGCAACCTACATGTTCCCCTAATTACACACTGTATTGTATGCTACAAGCAAAGACAAAGGAATTCCTAATACTAAATTTGTTAGTTGCATTGGATCGATTCTTTTAACCTGAAATGGTGAGTAAAGAGTGAGCTTTGGGAAGCTCAATAATATTGAACTACCATATGAATTCAATAGGCCATCAGGTATAAGTAAAGCATGAATTTTCTTAATGATACATACATCACCAGGTTCTACCGACGAGCTCATATTTCATTAATCATTTCTTCAGGTAACAGTCAGGAAATCAAAATCTGAAGAAAATAATCAGAGAGAGAGACTTTAGAGATTGAGATGAAAAGTCTAGTGTGTTCCTTCAAAACCAGAATATATCTGATCATAGTTTCAAAAAATAGTAGTTTATTTCAGTAAAACAAGTTTTAAAATCACTGTAATACCCTCTACCAGAATACTCCATATGCAGTTCCCCATAACTGCATCCACAAGGAGTTACCCTAAGCACACAGAAAATGAGTCACCCTAAGGGAGTACCTTGGGGCATATGGGTCTACCCAAGGGCTCCTTAGGTCTGTAAGGATTTACCAGCTTGATCAAGGCTAAACCTTCATACTCCAGACTCCTACCTATATAGTATCTAGTAGAATTCAAATTGAGCAATAAATTTAATATCAAAATCATGATCCAGTAGAATATTGTAAAAATTACAATGTAGTTATTTAAATCACATAAATACCCTCCAACCGTACACCAAAATATAGTCTTCGTATTAAGGGAGTACCTTGGGGCCTTAGAGTCTACCCAAAGGTCATCTTAGATCCGTAAGGAATTACCAGCTTGATCAGAGATAAACCTCCATACTCCAGCCTACCCAGATAGTGTCCCAATAAAAAATTTCAAGTAGTAACCAGTAGTTTCATGATCCATACTTTAGGCATATTTCATTTTATAGTAAAACAAGTAAACAATAAATCATTATATCAATTAATAAAAACAATCGTAAATTAACCAGATATCAATTTATAATTTCAATACAAATAAAATGGTCAAGTAGCATATAAGGAACACACCAGAATATTTAGTTATTTTTCGGAGGCAATTGATCGTTATCAAGAAGGAAAAACTTGTAACTTCTGTAGATTGGACGGAATTCAGAATCGAGGTCCCTATAAAAAGGGTTCGTTCATTAGCAGATCTAATCAACATTCAGATATTGATGTTTCAAAAATCATTTAAGATTCGAAAGTATTAAAAAGGTACTCATGAACCTTTACATCAGAATATTGAAGATCTAGATATAACATGAGTGTTTCCATTATTCAGGCAAATAGGGGTATTTTGGACATTTTAATTTCTGATGGATTCTTAGTAACTTAATCCAATAATGGTAAAACGATAGTTTGCATTATTCTGAATTTATATCAAATTATCATGATTTTGAGTCAAATCGTACTAATCGATCTCTACCTTGTAAAACTTGTCAATAATCCGGACTGATATACTTCACGAATAATCACTTCTTAATATTGATTACACTGGTTGAATTAGCCACTTTCATAATCACCACTGAACGGAACTAGAAGAGACGATCAGGTATTCTATGGTATTATATATTTTTGTCATGTATCAGTATCAAGAATACTCAACATACTTGAGTTATGCTCCATAACCTTTAGGAATGATACAACATAAGTTTATTAGTGTTTCTAGAATTTATCCAAAGACATTCACTTATTCCAAGTTGTTAGGATATTTAGGTTATTTCAACAATCGAGGTTACTTCGGTCATCTTAGAGTTGAAGGTATTCAAATTCTTTTGGGGTTTAGGGGCATTTCAATCATTTGAATATCGAAGGTTATTTTAGTTATTTTGTAGCTCGATGATATTTTGGTAATTCTTTTTAATCCAAATATATGCACTTTTTCTGGTACTTGGTCAAGTATGTCATTTATGGGTTAATTTTCACCTTCATGGGCCATCTTTGTCTTTTTACAGTACAAGGACATTTTTTTAATTTTACTCCATAGAGTTATTTTGTAATTTTTAACCAAGTATTCCTGATATTTAACCTTTAAAGAATTTAATCAGAATTTTGGATCCTGAAGTCAATTTATTTACTAACTAATCCCTGAACTTAGAATTATTTCTGATCGGTCTACCAATTTCTTTTGCGAGTCGTCTGAGTCTTATACAATGTTTTGCCTTTATTCTATATTCAGTTTGAGTCTAATGATAATTAAATACACCTTATTAACCAATCATTTCCATTTTTGCATTTATCAATTATCAATGAGTTTTGAAAAGCATACATAATGTAGTAGAGTATTACCTCGACTTTTGTGCCACATCGGTTAACCAGTTAAACTCTATTTGATCATGCTCAAACTTTAATTCCTCATCCCATAATGTCTCTGATACATGGAAAAACCAATTACATTAGAAACAGAACTTAAACATGAAAAATCGTATTGAATTGGGAGATAAAATTCCGAAAAACAGCTTACCGAGTTTGAATTTGGCAAAACGAACTTTGGATTCAGACTTAGGATGTCGAAAAACATGAAATATGACTTTTTAGAAAATTTGACTTTTTGTTAAAGTCAATAGTCAATGGTTCAGGTCAAGGTCAAAGAGTCAGATGGTTCGGGTTAACTCAGACCAGTTCGGTCTATCAGACCAGGTTCAGACCGGGTTAGGTCGGTTCGATCCACCTGGATCGTTCTAGAAGGTTTCCTGGACCAGCAAAGGAGCCTCGTGCATACTGCCGGAGCGTGGCGGCGAGTGCGGCTTCGATAAGGGTTGTTTTGAACGGTCGATCTTCCCACGAGCAACCAACAACCAATCAAAAATCAGCCAAATCTAAATTAATCGAAAAACACTCGAAGCTTATCCCCTATGGAGGTCGACGACAACGCAGCGATGGAGGTATCGCTCACTTGGGTTTTGTTCGCACGTCGCCGATGAAGCTGACAGTGGTGGCGGTGTGCTGCAACACCGATTGGATTGGCCAAAAAAATCCTATGACAGTCGTTATAAATTTATTAGGTTCATAATTAGATGTGTTCATAATTATTATAAATTTATTTTTATTTGATAATATTTTTTTAAATTTTCTTATAATTTAAATTGATATATTTCATTTATTATAATATTAAAAAATAAATATTATTTCAGGTAGTGGGACATGTTGGTATCAATACACAAGGTAGCCTTTCATTTCTATTTACAGTTAAACTAAGAGTTTTATTAGGGTAAACTATGCTAATAGTGTTATATGTTTTCGGTCTAACTGACTGTCCGCTATTTGTGAGTACTATATATGGGTGCGGAAATATGTGCAAGTATACACAATCGAACAAGTAATACAGTGATGAGTGAGTATCGTCTCCACAGGGATTGGAGGAAATTGATAAGTTCAATCATAGCGTTTTACTATGTCACCTAAGTAAAGTTAGTGATGTTATTTGCAAATGAAAATGTTGTGGCAAAATGAATTGATGTTGTGGAAATTGTATGATGGTAATATAGTAGCAGATTGAGATGTTTTGGCAAATTGAATTGTGCCGAGTACAAACAAATAAAAATGTAAAGGAAAAATAAATTGTAAATATTGGATTTGCTTATAAGGACTTTAGACTCCTCGCACGACAAGCTACTATGGGAATGAGTGATATGAGTTACTTAAGAAATTTAAGTCTACTTCTCAGAATAATCTTACTTCTATGCTTTCTCTGCCCGACAGAGTTTACTAAGGGTGCCCTATGCTATCTCTAGTAAGTGACTCGACAGATTGAAGATGCCTTGGCAAAACTGATTGGCGTTAGCTACTGCAGGGATCCTATTGGTCCAGATAACAGGATATGTCTCGGCAATACCTTTTTGCGGCAGCATTAACATCTAACCTATCACTCATACACAACTCCTTTTAGTAGAATGAAATCCTAGCCTTATCTCTAAGGTGGATTAGGCCTAGTTACTATCTAGAACCCCTTGCTTATGTGGTTCCTCCCTAGTTTCTCTCAAACACTAAAGACGTGTTACCTAGACATTCTCTCGAACACTAAGTAATCCCCTAAAGAATGACTACTCTCGTAGCTCCTACAACCTTAAGGCGCTAAGCTTCATAAACAAAACAGAATATAACATAGAAAAATAACCATTCATTAAAGCAAAACTTAAATATCCAAAGTAAACTCCCACCAAATAGGATTAGTTCATGGTGGGGTTCGAAATAAGAAAGCACAAAGCAAGTTAATCCATTCCTTACAACCCAAAAGATTAATATGAAAGCAAAGAGCAAAAGGAAAGAGGAAAAGCCTTCGAAGTGCACTGCCGGAGCTTCCCTCGGCCACCACGAACAGTCCCAGTAATTTAGCTCCTCTCGGACGCCTAGTTCGTCACTCCCTATAGCCTGTCAACAGAGGAATGCCACTGCAAAAATGATTGACGGAAAAAGAGATAACTTTTTCTCCGAATTTTTAGGCTCTTGGCGACTGTCTAAAAATCTCCAAGTCTCCTCAAAAAGTCAGGCTTAATCTTCTATTTATAGAGGAGAATGAACCTAGGGTTTTGTGTTAAAATTACACTAGCACCCTAAAGTTCATTCCTTTTATGTGAGAGTCGGTGTAAAGATGGTAACTGGCCTCTCCATTATGGTTGATTCCAGAAATCACTTTTTATACCATGACAGTTGGCCCTTACTAAAAATATTTTCTTTGACTTTTTCTGTCCAGAAATACCGTCCGAGTTGTCGCGGCAATCACATTTTGCTCAGTAGTCCATCATGTCATGGCAATTCCCTTTTCTTATCATTGCTCCCAAATCCTGCACATCATCAAACAAAACACATTCCCCATAAAGCAACACTGATTACAAAATAAAATGTCGCGGCAAACATAATTTCACCACATGCAACTATATGCTCCTAAATGCATCTATATGATCCTATATGATCTTTTAGACAGTTAATAACTTAAGTGAAAATGTCCCAAATATGACCTTTTTACGGAGTTATCACACCCCCAAACTTAAGCTATTGCTTGTCCTCAAGCAATGGATAGTATTAAGCAAAATAAAAATACCATGGTAAGTTCAGAAGCAGAATAGTTCTATGGGATAGAATTTCAGCCCTCAGAACATTTGGCTTCAACATGCTAGACTAGTTTGAGAAATCAAGTATTGTCCCCTAGGGCAAGATTCTTTGTGTGGGTATGTGCGTGTTTGTATCCAGTCCATGCTTAACAAACCTAAAAATTTTCTACGCAATTTTTCTTGTTTTGCCACGATATTTAAAATTTTTACTCCCACATTGTTTTCTTTTCCTTTTTTCTTTTTTTTAACACTGCTACGACGGGAGTCAGCCCATCACACCTACCATCCCACACTCTAGTTAAAATGGAGCAGACCTTCTACCCCCGAGCTAGTAAGGTAGAGTTATCCCGTGACTACTTTCATTCACTCATATACCATAGTTGCCATTTATTTATTTGTAGGTTCTAGGAAATGCTATGGCATAGCGGAGTGTCCCTCTATAGATATGCCGAAGCATTTATTCACAACTTCATTTTTTTTCTTTTTTTTCTTTTTTTACAAAGTGGGGTTTTCATTGTTTATGCCTAGACATGCAAGAGTTCTTTTATAAAAAATTTCTAAGTTCCGTAAGCATGGAAAACATACAATCATGTATTCAAGGGTTTCAAAGAAGCAAGTCCTAGATTTGGTTCTATCATCCTCAACAGTCATGTACATTCAATCCTAGCCATCAAGAATTCATCATCATCGGGCATCCTTAATTTATTCCAGAAAACCAATTCAACCACTTATTAATGTCATGGCATATTCATTCTACTAATACTATAATACAATGATTTGGGAACCCTACCTCCCCCAAACTTAAGAGAAGCGTTGTCCTCAATGCTAAATAAAAATTAAGGAAAAATCTAAACTACATGCTATGAAATTCAATGTAATGCAAGGTACCTTGACTTCATGCTTGTGGTGGTGCGGCGGTAGTGCGACTTGTGCGCTTTTGTAATTGTGTGGGGTTGGAATGTTCAGAATCCGATATTGGTACGGTTGAAATCTGGATAGACCCTAACCTTGTAAATAAAAATAAAATAGTAAATTAAAAGGAAGTTGAATAAAAATAGTAACAAAATAACCATTTATTTATGCACAGGAGTAAAACTAAAATGTCATGGCATCCTTAAGATGTTAGGCCAGTATCAACTTCATGCAAGAGAAGTGCAGTCTTGTCACGTAATGGTGGGACTCCTTGGTATGCCTTCAGGCGCTAGCCATTGACTTTAAAGACAGACCCATCGTCTATGTTCTTGATATCCACAGCACCATACGGGTAAACATGGTGGACTTCGAATGGTCCCGGCCATCGTGACTTCAGTTTGCCAGGGAAGAGTTTGAGCCTAGAGTTAAACATGAGCACTTTATGTCCAACATGAAAATGTCGTGGAAAAATAATTTTGTCATGCCACTTCTTCATTTTTTCCATGTAGATCTTGGCATTTTCATACGCTTGTGCTCGAAACTCTTCCATCTCATTCAGATTGAGCAGCTGTTTCTCCCCAGCTAGTTGTGCGTCGAAGTTCAGCTTCTTGATTGCCCAGTATGCCTTATGTTCTAGCTCAACTAGCAGGTGGCAGGCTTTCCAAATACCATCTTGAAGGGTGACATTCCCAAAGGTGTTTTAAATACCATCCGGTATGCCCAGAGCGGTTTATTGAGTTTTGGGGACCAGTCTTTCCGTCGGGGGTTCACCACTTTCTCGAGAATCTGCTTGACTTCACGGTTGGAAACTTCAGCTTGCCCATTTGTTTGTGGGTGATATGACGTGGCAATTTTATGTCGCACTCCTTATTTCTGTAATGCCTTGGCAATTAGCTTGTTGTCAAAGTGGGTTCCCTCGTCACAGATAATGGCTCTTAGTGCTCCAAATCGAGTGAAAATGTTCTTGTGAAAGAACTTGAGCACCGTCTTCGAGTTATTCCTTGGTATCGTAATCACTTCAACCCAGTTGGATACATAGTCCACTGCGAGTAAAACGTATAAGTTTCCAAAAGAAGATGGGAACGATCCCATAAAATCGATGCCCCAAACATCGAATAGCTCTATCTCCAAAATATTTTGCAGCGGTATTTCGTGTCGTCTGGAAATGTTCCTAGTACACTGGCATCTGTTGTAGGCCTTGCAAAATTTGTGGGCATCCTTAAATAGCAATGGCCAGTAGAAACCTGATTGGAGGACCTTGGCAGCAGTCCTCGTACCTCCAAAATGCCCTCTATAGGGTGCTATGTGGCAATGGTGTAAGATATCGTGTTGCTCCTCTTCGGGGAAACACCGTCGAATCATTTGATCGGTACATTGCTTGAACAAGTACGGCTCGTCCCAAAAATAGAACTTGGCATCATGCAGAAACCTCTTTTTGCCCTGGATGTTCAATTCATATGGAAAAACACCACTAACAAGAAAATTAACGAGGTCAGCGTACCACGGAATTTCCGTGGCATATAAAATTTTCTCGTCAGGGAATTCTTCTTTAATATAAAAAATGTCATGGCATTCAAAAATGTTTTCTAGCCTAGATAAATGGTATGCAACCTAGTTTTCTATACCTTTCCTATCAACTACCTCTAAGTCGAACTCTTGCAATAGTAATATCCACCTAATGAGTCTAGGCTTGGCATCTTTCTTGTTCACTAAGTATTTTATAGCTTAGTGATCGGTGTGAACTATGACTTTGGTGCCTATCAAGTATGGCCTAAACTTGTCAAATGAAAATACCACGGCAAGTAATTCTTTCTCAGTGGTGGTATAGTTTAATTGTGACTCATTCAAGGTACGACTAGCATAATATATAACATGAAAGATTTTACCTCTACGTTGCCCAAGCACAGCTCCCACGACAAAATCATTTGCATCACACATTAGTTCGAACGGTGCCGTCCAATCTGGGGGAACTACGATCGGTGCAGAGATAAGTCTTTGCTTCAGCTCTTCGAATGCGCCATGGTAGTTCTAATCGAATACAAATGGTTGGTTATGTTGCAGCAAGGTGCACAAGAGCTTGGATATTATGGAGAAGTCCTTGATGAATCGTCTATAAAATCCATCATGTCCAAGGAAACTCCGAATGCCCTTGACAGAAGTTGGTGGCAGTAGCTTCTCGATCACCTCGATCTTGGCTTTGTC